ATCAGAACAAGTGCTGGTGATCCCATGACTTCCACGAGCTGCTCATAGAATGCCTCATCCAACTCTTTGTCCTGATTAGGCGGTCAATAACAGACCCCCACCATGATGCCGCTGCTACAGGCCCTCCCCCCGTTCCTTACCCATACACACTCCACTCTATCATTCCCAACTCCAAGCTCTTCAACCTTGAAACAGTCTGTAATATAAAGGGCCACACCACCACTCTTCCTTCCTCATCTATCCTGCTTGGTTATGTCCCTGACACAAGCCCTAGGAAGGCAGCACACTTCCAGACAGTCCGGGTCAGGTGTGCATATGGGGCCCTCCATTCCTCTGAGAAGGGAGTCACCCACCACGACCACCATTCTTTCTTTCCTGTCAGAGGCAGTCTCAAGCTATGGGGGAGACCGCCTCGCCCTAGGCTCTCTCCTAGGCAGATCCTCCATCTCTTCTCCAGTCACCTCCCTTCAACTTCCAGCAACTGGAACCTGTTACTCAGAGTTGTGGAAGCAGGCTGGGCAGGCGTGGGTGTCTCTTGTGACACCGAGTTGGGACTCTCTTCCAACCTTCCTCATCAGTGAGGTCTGTCCAACTGTGACAGGATAGGGGGTCCACCACCTGTCTGGGCTTTTTCTCCCAAAGCCCTTTCTCTCTGGTAAGCCAGTGAGTCACTCTACCAGTCGATCTCCCGTTCACACTCCCTGACGGTCCTAAGTTTCTGCACCGCATCCTTGAGCTTCACCACCAGGCTGAGCAGCTCATCCACCTGCCCAAACCTCATACAAGTGAAGTCCCTGCCACTCTCCCCAGGCAGAAGTAGGCTCAGGCACTCGTTGCAGCCAGAGGCCTGAACAGCAACATTTCTCAGCAAGCTTTCCATCAGGGTTGCCACAGTCTTCTTAGAATGAGACCACTGTCTAGTGGAGACCATGTTTCAGCCTCAGGGACTGCCAAGGAAAGCCGGTCTCCTGAGCAAGTAGGGAACAGAGCTTACAATTCTCACCACTGGACCACCTCCCACACACACAGATGTAGCACCCTATGGGAAGCGTGGGCTGTACTCACTCACTGAACCTCCCCTTTCTCAGTGAGCAGAAACAATGATTTCTCAGCTGATGCAACCCGTGGGTGGAAGCTAGCTATCAGGAGTGAAGGTGAGGGTGGGTATTTAAACCGTGCCACTAATATAGCAGCTCCACCCCTGGAAACTCAGGAGCCTGCCCACAAGCTGCTGGCTCCCAGTGCAAGTGCACTCCTGACGCTAGCCTCAAAGAAGCCTAAAAAAAAAAAAAAAGCCTTAAAAAGAGCTTTTGGATGGCCTTTCTTTACTGTGCATCACTTGCCAGTGCAGAATTAACTGCTCAGAAGACAACAAAAACAGCTCCGCAGTAAAAAGAAACAAAGCTCTCATCCCTTCCTCTCTCCCCCGGAAGGGGATGTGCCATGAGAACGAGCTGTGAAACTGCCCAAGGCCCGGCAGCCGGCTCGGGCCGTGCTCGCTGTGGGAATTGCTGCCTGCACCTGAGGCTGTGCCGAAGCGGCCAGAGCCTGGCCGGAAGCCGTCCGGGCAGCACGGCGGTGGCAGGAGGAGCAGCGAGGCCGTGCTGCGGCCAGCTCCGGGCTGAGGGCACTCGGCAGCCTCTGCTCTCCGCGACTCCCAGGAGCCCGGTTGCCCGCACCAGAGGCGGGAGCAGTCTGCTCCGCACCCAAGGTAGGAGCCCTTCGCGGCTCGTGCAGAGGAGCGCACGCTTCCTGCCCCCTGCCAGCAGCAGCGGGAGGACAGTGGGGTGAGTCAGCGGGTGGGGCGGAACCAGCACTGCTGTAGCCCAGGTGGGAGCCCGGTCCCTGCTCCAGCTGCTGCCCAGCATGGCAGGTTTGCTGGGCCAGACGGGCTACAACAAGGGGAGCAGCGGTTCCAAGGCGTGTTGCAGCCCGGCTTGGGCTCCGAGGGGCACAAGCAAGGGTTGGAGCTGGGACAGCGAGGAAGTGAGCAGAGGAGCTCAGCGTGTTCTGCTGCCCAGTTATCTCTGTAATACTGCCCAGCTGGGACCGTGTTTCTCCTTGTGGACCACAGGAGACACAAGATGACCTTGTTCTACAGCTCTGCAGGCATGGATTCACTGATAGAAGCCTCCTTTTGAGTGTCTGCATGTGAAGCCTCCAAGGGGGGAATTTGAACCCCCCGTCCCCGGCAGCTTCCCTTCGGGGACTCAGCAGGCAACACCTGCCTCTAGCAGTCCTTTCAGAGTTACCTTTTGTGTTCTTAGCACTGGGCTGATGGCTCAGCTGGGGATGTGCAAATCCCTCCCAAGGCTTTTGTTCAGGCTGTCCCTGCAGCTGCAGATGCCTTTAGCACGCAGCTGCGGACCCTGAGCACGTCCAACACCTGCGCGAGCCGTAGCACTGGGCTGCGTAATAGGAGCTGTAAAGCTGAGAGCGTGTGGGCTGACTGGAGCACACTTTGAGAACGCGCCCGAGCAGCACATCAGTAAAGTGCAGCCCAGGCTGCCTCGTGCAAAGGGCGCACGGTGCTGAGAACCGCGCCCTGAAGTGAGCGCGGTGTGCGTGCGGAGCTGAATGGGAAGCGGCGCCCCCTGGTGGGAAAACATGGAGATGCGGCCGTTGAGGCAATCTTTCTGCAATAAGGGAATTGGGCTTTTTTTATCTTGGATGAGAGAAGGCTCAGGGGAGACCTCCATGTGGCTTTCCAGGACTTGAAGGAAACGTATAAACTGGAGGAGAACGGCTGTTTACGAGCCTCGATAGTGATGGGACTATAGGAATGGTTTTAATTGGAGTTAGAGGAGATTATTTTAGACATCAAGAGGAAGTATTTCACTTTCTGTGTGGGTGGTGAGGCACAAGAACAGGTTGCCATTAGAGGATGTGGATGCCTCATCCTTTGGGCCTCTGGGATGTGGCTCAGAGCAGACTGGTCTGCTGGATGGTGTCTCTGCATATTGCAGTTTCTTGAAACTAGATGGTCATTGTGGTCCTTTTCAACCCCGGGTATTCTCTGATGATGTGATTACCTTCAGATAATCACTCTAAAAAAACAACTTAGAGAAGCTCACAAAGCTCCAAACTAACCATGAGTCTCTTACAGAAGATCTCCATCAGCCTGGTAGATCTGGCAGCCTGGTGTAGTAGATGGTGACCCTGCACATAGCAGGAGGGTTGAAACAAGATGGTCACTGAGGACCTTTTCAACCCAGGCCATTCTATGATTGTGTGAATACCTTGAGATCTTCACTGTAGCACATCACCTTAGAGAAGCTCACAAAGCTCCAAACTAACCCTGGGTCTCTTACAGAAGACCTGTGTCAGCAAGGTGTCTTGACATGAAGCCGAGTGGGATCTCTGTACAGATGTGGCCTTGAGAGCCATCCCTGATTGTGGGGAGATCCTGTCGTGCAGCCCATTGCTGTGCAGGAGAGTTCAAGGGGCACTTGGGCTACTCCCTGTTTAGGGGTAAGATGACTGCCTCCTTGCTATGTATTGTCTTTAGGCATACAGTCCATGTACCCTCAGCTGTTGAACCAGGTGTCAGTTCTTTGTGCCACCCAGACTGAGTCAGCTTTGTGATTTGTAATCAGCTTTAGCCAGAGCGTTACCAGTGCTGTTGCTGCTTGTGTTCCTGTGCAAGGCCTGCTGTGCCATCCCCCAGGCAGTGCCCTGCAGATGGGCTGTGGAGGGCTGGGCTGGGACAGGGACTGCTGCGTTCCCTCACAGCTCCCCTGCCATTTCTCTTGTCCCTGCAGGCTCCAGTTCAACTTCTGCCATCCAGCCGTGATCATCTCAGGTGCAGGAGAGCAGCAGATGGCCACCGCACATCCATCTCAGGTAGGGGCTGGGGGAAGCAGGCAGGAGAGGCCGAGGGGTGAGGGATGTGAATGCAGGGGGAGAGGGAGGTGGCCTCAGCCAGCATGTGTGTGCTGGGGCCAGAGAAGTGGCTGGGACGGGAGTTTGTGTCCTGTGTGAGCTGCTTCCCTGGGCCTTGGCTGTTCCCAGCAAGGAGCCTCTTTGCTTGCAGGAGCCCGTGAGCTTTGCGGAGGTGGCCGTGTATTTCAGCAGGGAGGAGTGGGCGCTGCTGGACCCTGCGCAGCGAGCGCTGTACTGGGACGTGATGCTGGAGACGTACCAGTGCGTGGCCTTGCTGGGTGAGGACTTTGCTGCCTTTCCTCCTCGTTAGGGCACTTTTGGCTGTGCAGAAGGAGCCTCTGCAGGCTGGAGCTAGTAAAATTGCCGTGTAGTTACATACTGATAACAGCAACAAAGGAAAGACTGAGAAGCATGACTATCAGAAAGGGTTAGTATGCACAACAGACTCATAAATGCCCCAGTGTCAGTTTTGGCAAGCAGGCATCAGCCTGGAGCGGGAGAACCAGCTCCCTGCAAACAGCCCTTGTGTTGCTGCATTGCATGGTGTCACCAGCCCTAGTGGACAGACCGCTTCCAGATTGTTTCTTCTGCATTTATTGCCTCTATATTCCATTCCCATGAACATTCTTGTACCCTTGGGCCTTGAGCTGTTTGGAAAATATTAAAGGAAACGTTCTAATGGGTATTTGATTGCCCACTGTTATTACGGCCCTGATCTTGTTTTCATCATGGTGATGGATGTACTGCAAAGTTGCTGGACAAGCGGCTGTGCCAGATTCTGGGAAACACTCTTATCTCCATATTTCTTCCATTGAAGCTCCACCTCGAGCCTCCAAACCTGTGCTGATTTCCTTGCTTGAAAGAGGGGAAGAGCCCTGGATCCCAGATGTGCATAGCCCTGAGGCCGTGCCAGGAGACCTCAGCGCAGGTGAGGTGGTGGAGGGAAGAAGTTTGGGTCTGGAAGAGCCATTTCTGTGTGTGTTTTATTTTGGGCACTGTGTGCTATTTCTGGATTTCCTGTCATCCAGCAGGAACTGGGATTGCAGGCATACTGGAGGACCTGCAGGAAAGTGATGTGGCCGAAAGGCTGTGGGGTGGTGTTTGTGTGGAAGAAATCAGAAGGGATGTCCAAGGAGGCCTGGAGCAAGGTCAGGGTGAGCAGATCATGGAGCCACCGGGAAAGTGTATGTTAAAGACAGGGAGGAGCCCGTTGGACTTCAACTTAGGTCAAAAGGAGCCTGAAGAACCGAGGAGCAAGGATGTGTGCCAGCAGAAAAATCAGAATCCATGCACTGAGAGTGGAAATAGCTTTGAAAAAGATTCCAGTATTGTTAACCAGCAGTGCATGCGCTCAGCAATGGGGCCATACAAGTGCTCTGATTGTGGGAAGAGCTTCAAATGGAGATCCCAACTCACATACCACCAACACATCCACACAGGAGAGAGACCCTACAGGTGCTCTGAGTGTGGGAAGAGCTTCAAAAGCAGGTCTCATGTGAAGCAACACGAGCGCTTCCACACAGGGGAGAGACCCTACAAGTGCTGTGAGTGCGGGAAGACCGTAAAAACCCGTTTCCACCTCACATACCACCACCGCTTGCACACAGGAGAGAGACCCTTTAAGTGCTCTGATTGTGGAAAGAGCTTCAAAAGCAGTTCTGATGTGAAGCTGCACCAGCATGTACACAAATGGGAGAGACCCTACAAGTGCTCTGAGTGTGCGAAGAGCTTCAAAAGCAGTTCTGAATTTAAGCGCCACCAGCGCATCCACACAGATGAGAGACCATATAGGTGTCCTGAATGTGCAAAAAGCTTCAAAAGCAGTTGTGTATTGAAACGCCACCAGCGCATTCACACAGGAGAGAGACCCTATAAGTGTCCAGAGTGTGCAAAGAGCTTCAAAAGGAATTGTGAATTGAAGAGACATCAGCACACGCACACAGATGAGAGACCATATAGATGTCCTGAGTGTGCAAAAAGCTTCAAAAGCAGTTGTGAATTGAAACGCCACCAGCGCATCCACACAGGAGAAAGACCCTATAAGTGTCCAGAGTGTGCAAAGAGCTACAAAAGTTGTTCTGATTTAAAGTACCACCAGCGCATGCACACAGGAGAAAGACCCTATAAGTGTCCTGAGTGTGGGAAGAGCTTCAGAAGGAATTCTGAATTGAAGAGCCATCAGCACACGCACACGGGGGAGAGACCCTTCAAGTGTCCTGAATGTGAGAAAAGCTTCAAACGCAGGTCTAATCTCAGCACCCACAAGCACATCCACAGCGCACACAGGCTGTAAAGCATCCCCAGGATACGGGGAACCTTCAGAAACAGTTCCAGCCTCATTACCTACCAGCACAGCCACACAAGATAAAGAGCCTGCAGAGCTTCTGTCAACAGTTTTTGGGCTGGTTTGGCCCAGTTCCGTGACCAGCGGGGTGGAGGGATTTCATAAAATCCGTGCCTCTGGAAAAAAGGGAAACAGGGGACCCCCCCAAAAAATTAAAAACAGCGGGAATGACCTGAGGAGAAACAAACTGATTTACTCAATGTAGTATTGGAATGCAAGATAACACACCATAATACAATATAATAAGAATTGAAGCTAATAAATAAAATATAATGAGAGAGAGAATGTCCGAAAGGTGGGTAGGCCTCACCACAATGCTGAGGTGAGATGCGCAGTCCAGTTGAGCAGCAGGGAGATGGGAGGAGAGCCGACAAAGAGCAGATGAAAAAGAGCCCATCAGGTGACCATGCCAGGAGCTCTATCTCCTTCCTGGCCGTGCTGCACATTGGTTCTACTACTCTTCTCAAATGCTTTGAACAGCTGGTCACAGCAGCTGTGTGACATCAAGCCTTGTTTGCCTCCAATAAAGCTACAAAAAGCTGAGCTTGTTCTTCCTAAATGAACCATCCCAAGTTTCAGGAGGTGGATTGAGCAGAAGGCAGTGCAAACCCTCAGGGTGTACAAGCAGCTCATCCCCACAGCACAGAGATATCAGAGTGCTCTCCAGTGTGTGCTTGCCTTGCAAGTAATCCCTTTAGAGCTTGAAGGTTTTTGATTTGACCTTGGCAAGGTGTGTCTGAGATCTCCCACAGCAGGGCCTTCACATTTGTTGCGCTCAGCTAAAGCTGCTGTGCTTGGAATGCAGTTGGCAGGAAGTGGAGGTTGTGATTGGTGAGCTAGTGAAGCTTTTTTTTCCATTTTTATTTCCTAAAATTATCAATTTAATGGTAGGTTTCCCCCCCAATGTTTTGTCACACATCTTATTTAGTTGGATTAGGAGTTAGAAAACTCAGCTTTTTGTCTGCCTCTGAACTCGCCATCTTTTCCTCTGCTCTGGGGAAAGTCCTTCTGTTGCAGACATGAACCCCTGCAGAGTTGTGACTGCAGTGCCCCAGCTGCAGGAACAGGAGCATTCCTGACGCTACTATGGTTTGTTTTCCTGTGGTGGTAAATCGTTGGGCATGGAGGAGTGGATGTTCACTTGGGAGGTTTTGTCTTGGTGAATTCTACCAATAGTTGCATCTGCCCCACAGAAAGCTCTACCCTCTGTGTCATAGGTCACCTCTGCACTCATGGAATCAACACAGGCACAGACAGAGCTCCCAAGGGAACAACCAGCCCCCCAGGTGCCCATGTGCAAGGCTGTTACATGTTATTGGTTTCTCACATTAGCATCCAAAGCTGGAGGCCCTGTATGCTGCAGCATCATCAGCATGAGTGAGAGGTGGTGGGAACGGTCCTGTGACGGGTGTGCTGTGTGTGATGGATGGCTCTGGGCTCTGCAGGCTGGAGATGCAGGGCAGGTGAGATGGGATGGGGTTGCTTTGTGTACTGGTAGACTGGATGGAATGGAGCTTACAGTAAGTAATGACATGGTTGAAAGCCTCTGGGTATGGATTAAGGGTCAAGGAAAACTAAAGAGGATGTCACTGTGGGAGTCTACTATAAGCCACTCAGCCTGGACAATGGTACCAATTAATTATTCTTAATTCTTTAAAGGAGTATCTCAAGATCAGACTCTCTTGTCTCAGTGTGTCAACAGCATCCCAGCAATTTAGGGGTTGTAGCACAAAGCCAGTAAGCTGTGTGATTTTCTTGGCCAACTGATCTGATTATATGTGACTGTTGAAGTCATGTGGGAGATACTCACACATCCACCCAGGAGCAGAAGTACTCTCTGACTTCCTTGGGGGACTCAGTATCAGTCAGTGGGAAAAATGCAGTGTGAGGGAGATCATTTTGCTTCTCAAATCTTGCTACTGCTGACGTTACCTACAGTGACAATGGCTCTGTATAATCAAAGAATATTAGGCTGTTATAATCACAAACTGAACAGGGGTGTTAGGCAAAGTAGACTATGGTAACAAAAGAGAATAAATAGAAGGCTTACCCTTATGCTGGGCTCACCCACAAAACACCAGAAGAGGCGATCTCCAGAAGAGATCCTTCCCAATGGTAGCCAGCTCTTAAATAGGTCTAGCCTAGCTCCACCCCTTCTGGCAGCACAGGTGAATTGCCTTCACCTGTGCTCCTCTGGCTGACTCATGGCTCACCTCAGGTGATCAATCGGAGGTTCAGGCCATGACTCAGCAGTTCCCATACACTCCAGCCCTTCACAGTGTGAACCAATGATCAGGTTAACTAAAGGGTAAGCTTTCCCTAATACAGAGATCCGCTATATCGTGACACTTATACAATTTTATCGCAACATGTGTTGGTACAATTCGAGACGAGTGATGATCAGTGGATGTCCATACTCTTCTATGGGCCAGTGCTCGATGATGTGACTGGAGGCATGAGGTCCTGAGGTGCAGGTCCGTTCTACGTTCCATCAGTCCCATGCAGACCATCACCGGGTGTTGTACGTGATCTGACAGCAACACTGGAACACTTGATGTCATTTTGTTCCTTCCGGTGGTCCTGAAGGCTCACAGACTCACGGGGAGTCATACAGATGTTTCACAGGTACCAGGAGGGGAAGGTCTGCTCTCCAGGGCAAGATACAGGCCGTATTTCTATCCTGGGTCAACACTTCCGCTTGTACTGGGGCACGTCCTGGCCGCCTGTACCACACCTTCTGGCCGGATGTCTGCGGCTGCATAACGGTATCAGACACCAAAGGAGGTGTCCTGATCTGCCACAGGGACACGATGGGGGTCCCTTTAGCAATAAAGATCGCAGTGTTGACCACAATATCAGTAGGCCATGTACCTGTTACTGGAGGGACTGCTGAGCCTCCCACCTCCAACAATCTCCCCCAGGGGGCAGGTAGGCCACACCACTTGGGTCCTACCTGCACCTTCCAGGGCTATTTTATTTTATGGGTACCTGGCTCTAAGTTTTCAGGGGCAGGGAGCAGAAGATTATTTTTGTTACCTATCTGGGGTTTTACCTGATGATCAGTGCCCGTAATTTGGATCCCAAGCGGGGTGGCCCATGTCGTCTGCAACATTCTCAGGGCACTGGGTGTGCCGTCTCGAGGTCTTTCATTCAGGTCCCGCAGGGTTTCATACAGTCTTTTCGTCCACCCCTGCAGGGACTGGGAGTCTGTCTTCAGGGCAGCCTTAAGAATACATTATAACGTTCGATGAGGCCTGCCCCCATTGGATTATATGGCAGGTGGAATCACCATTCGATGTTAGTTTCTTCTGCCCAGCACTGTATCGTTGCACCAGTAAAATGAGTCCCTTGGTCACTCTCAATTACTTGAGGTGTCCCGTAGGCAGATATCACAGAATCACAGGGGTTGGAAGGGACCTCCAGAGGTCATCGAGTCCAACCCCCCTGCCAAAGCAGGTTCCCTAAACCAGGTCGCACAGGTCGGCATCCAGGCGAGTCTTCAACATCTCCAGAGCAGGAGACTCCAAAACCTTCCTGGGCAGCCTGTTTCAGTGTTCCGTCACCCTCACTGTAAAGAAGTTCTTGCGCATGTTTGTGCGGAACTTCCTATGCTGCAGTTTCCGGCCATTTCCCCTTGTCCTGTCTCCACTCACCACTGAAAACAGTCCGGCCTCGCCATTCTGCCCCCCACACCATCTTAGATATTTATAGACCTGGATCAGGTCCCCTCTCAGTCTTCTTTTCTCAAGGCTGAACAGACCCAGTTCACTCAGCCTTTCCTCATAGCAGAGATGCTCCAGGCCCCTCACCATCTTTGTGGCCCTCTGCTGGACTCTTTCCAAGAGATCCCTGTCTTTTTTGTACTGGGGAGCCCAGAACTGGACGCAGTACTCCAGATGAGGTCTTACCAGGGCAGAGTAGAGGGGGAGGATCACCTCCCTCGACCTGCTGGCCACGCTCTTTTTAATGCATCCCAGGATGCCGTTGGCCCTCTTGGCCACAAGGGCACACTGCTGGCTCATGGCCAACCTGTCGTCCACCAGGACACCCAGGTCTCTCTCTGCAGAGCTCCCCTCCAGCAGGTCATCCCCCAACCTGTACTGGTGCATGCAATTATTCCTCCCCAGATGCAAGACTCTACACTTGCTTTTGTTAAACCTCATCTGTTTTTTTTCTGCCCAGCTCTCCAGCCTGTCCAGGTCTCGCTGAATGGCAGCACGGCCTTCAGCCAATCCTCCCAACTTCATATCATCAGCAAACTTGCTGAGGGTGGCCATTATCCCCTCATCAAGGTCATTGATGAAGATGTTGAACAAGACTGGACCCAGCACTGACCCCTGAGGAACACCACTGGTTACAGGTCTCCAACCGGACTCTGCACCACCAACAGCGACCCTCTGCACTCTGCCAGTCAGCCAGTTTTCAATCCACCCCACTGTCCACTCATCTATCCCACACTTCCTCAGCTTTGTTATAAGGATGTCGTGGGGGACAGTATCAAAAGCCTTGCTGAAATCAAGGTAGACTACATCCACTGCTCTCCCTCCATGCACCCACCCAGTGACAACATCATAGAAGGCTACCAGATTGGTTAAGCATGACCTCCCCCTGGTGAACCCATGCTGACTACTCTTGATAACCTCCTCAGTACATCAGTTTAGTGAGTGCCTTGATGGTATATGCCTGGCTTGCTTTTGGTACTGGATAGGCCTGCAGTAGCCCACTTGCAGTGTCGACACAGGTCAGGGCATATCTTGCCCCTTCGGAATGAGGAAGGGGTCCGATGTAATCGACCTGCCATCGCTGGAGAGGATTGTGTCCCCTAGCAAGATGGGCTGTTGCTTCGGGCAACGATCTCGGACTCATCTTGGAGCAAGCGTCGCAATCCTGGCATGCCTGGACGATATCAGATAGTTGTATGGGCAGTCCCCATGCTCTAGCAGCTGCCCACATTGTCTTTTGTCCAGCATGCCATAGCTTCTGATGTAACCAGTGGGCGACGTTCTCAGATGGTGAATTCTTAATCCATCGAACTCGGGCCAGTGTGTCGGCTTCATCGTTTCCCGGTGACTGTAGGGGCTGATGACCAGAAAAATGGTAGACACGTACAGTCCTGTGTTTGACCGTATTCCATATATCTAACCACATCTTTGCCCCAGATGGGTCGGGCGTGGATAGTCCATTCCTGGGTGGCCCACTGTGCAATCCAAAGAGTGAGCCCCCGGTACACAGCCCAACTATCTGTGCAGATGTCCAGGATACCATCACCGGGTTCCTTGGTTATAACCATCCACACGGCTCGCAGTTCTGCCCATTGGCTGC